TGTGCTAGAGAGCCGCTCGTGGGGGGCAACTCGTGACCTCCATAGGGCATGAAGGGCGAACTGGCACCGCCCGCTTCCCATGAGACTGCAGTTGCCCCATCACCGCCAGCTTATACCTGGCTTTCCAGTAAGCTCTGTGGCGGCGGCCACCTTGTATGTAGTCCAGATGCATTTCTGCCAAAAGCCTCTGGGTTTCAAAATTTGTTTCTGAGTCTCCGGTATCATGGCTATTAATCAGCTTGATCAGGAGCCAGAGAGGCCTTTTGTAGGCAGCTACTTGGGGTCTTGCTGGGATGGGGAGAAAGGGTCGGCTCCACCCCCATGTGGTGAGGCCCCGTGTGTCTCGTCACTGCAGGCCCAAACCTGACTGTCCAGTGGCCTCTGAAGGATGGTGGTCACCAGGCCGCCAGGGGGAACAGGCCAAGGCACGCAACCTATTCCCACCTGGAGTGGCCCAGCACCAGTAACCTACTTCAGGAACAGGATGCATTTCTGCCAAAAGCCTTTGGGTTCCAAGATTCGTTTCTCAGTCTCTGGGATCGTGACTGTTAAGCAGTTTGATTAGGAACTAGAGAGGCCATCTCTCCAATTATATAGCTGAGCTGGAGGTGGTTTTTGGGTGTGTCTCCTATATACCTAACTTTTGGCCATTTACACAAGGAACATCTGCCTTGCAAGAGCAGTCAGCTAAATTTATTCCTACCCTTCATGCCCCTCCCCAAGTTCTATGGTGTGTAGGCCTTGGTAGTCCCTTGAGAATGACCACATATTGCCTGGTGGTCCCCGAATACCATCAGTGAATCCCTGGTGACCCACCCACTAGCTCAAGCAGAACCACATCACTGACCCCATGCATTAAATCTTCTGCCCAATTAGCAAAGGATTTCCAGCAGTGGCACCCTAGCCTCCTGAGTTCAGCTTGGAAGGAAAGGAAGAGAGAAAGAGGAGAAAAAGAAAAGAATCTTCAAAGCTTAATGTAGATGACAAGTCATGCTTTGTTACTTTATCCTTCCTTTCCATCAGAATTCTCTATCTGTGAACACATCATTACTCTGTCCTGGTCATAGCTTTTTCATTCTGACCACCCTCTTCCATTGTCTTCACTAACTTTCCCTTCTCCCTCAGCTTACCCTTTCTTTGCTGCACCCAGGATCTTACACTGCGCACTCTTGTTGCACTGTGTGTATTCTAATGCATGGGACTCTTAATTGCTTCTTTGGCTTTAAGTCCTCCTACAGGATATGACAACTACATCTTTATATTCTCTTGAGCCTCAGAGTATTCAGTATCCCTAATAGTTTTTATCTACTTTGAAAACAGCATAGACAAAGCTCAATAAACTCACTATTTTTTCTTTTTAAGACATGCATTTACTTTCTCAGTTCAGCACTGTCCTCCTGTTGTTCGTCGATTTGCTCAAGCGGGCACCAGTTGTGAGACTTGTTGTTACTGTTTTTGGCATACGAATACTCCACGGGGAGCTTGCCAGGCTTTGCCGTGTGGGCAGGATACTCTCAGTAGCTTGCCGGGCTCTCCAAGAGGGACAGAGGAATAGAACCTGGATCGGCCACGTGCAAGGCAAACATCCTACCCACTGTGCTATCTCTCCATCCCTCCCTGTGTGTATTGTATCCTTCTTCATTTAGTCTCCAAGTCCTGTTAACTTTGGCTGTATTCTTTTTTAATTTGATCTCATCTCTAATTCTTTCAAAGTGGCTCTTTTCTCTCCTCTTTACCTCATTTTCATTCTTCACATCATCACCGGGTTAACGTTTCTGCTTTTGTAAATCTGAGTATTTCTCACTTAAAATCCAGTGACTGGAGACATATTTTTACACAAAGACATAGAAGAAAATATATGGTAACTTTATTCTCAAGAATTCCAGCTTGGGGGGCTTGAGCAATAGCATAGCGGGTAGGACGTTTGCCTTGAATGCGGCCGACCCAGGTTCGATTCCCAGTATTCCATATGGTCCCCCAAGCACCACCAGGAGTGATTCCTGAGTGCATGAGCCAGGAGTAACCCCTATGCATCGCCAGGTGTGACCCAAAAAGAAAAAAACAATTTGGAAACAATCCAAGAATTTACCAATAAGTAAATAAATGCTTTATTAAAAATGAGAAGAATAAAGTATGGATTAACTAACAACAGGAATGAATCTCAAAATTATACTAAATGATAGAAACTAGAATCAAAATGGTACATAATGTATGATACTATTAATATAAAATTTCGGGAAATACAAACTAATGTATAATGAGATAAAGGAAATTAGTAGTTGCCTAAGTAATTGTTGGGCTGAAAAAGATAAAAGATCTTGGAGAGTAATGTATAGTATAAATATATAAAACAAAATTTTGGTTATATGTTTTAATATTAAGCGAATGACAGGAGGCTCATTGGTCAAGAGGAACACCAGTGTGTTTGCCTTACTGTTTTGGTGAGCACAGTACTGATAGCTCCAAAACTAGAGTTGTCTTTGACTGTTTACCAGAATGTTATCAATTGTGCTGTTATGTTGTAAAAAATGAAATTCCATTTGACTGATGTGTAATATCAATTCATTAATTAATAATGTATATCACTTGTATTATTTAGGAGTCAGAGAAGGCCCTCAACAGATGGGCCTTGGATGATGTCCATTGGACTTTTGAGGACTATTTCTTTTTCTCAGTTTACTGATTTGAAACTTATTCTATTCAAAAAATATCAAAAGATATTTTTTTCCACCTATATGGTCATCTCTTAGCCCAGACAGGTGATACGTAAGTCATCACTGGTTAGAAGGTTAATGTTTTATGTAGTAACGAGAAAATGATTATAGTCCAGGAACAAAGGAGTCATTCCAGCTAAAAGGAATTAACAGTTATCCAGTAGTAGGGCAGTGATGGTGAATGAGTGAGAGTGGTTAGTAGTAATAGTAGCAAAATAGCTATATAAGTAGTTCGAATAATAAAGAGATGATGATATTGACAGGAAAGAACATTTACTGAGAATATCCTAACACACTTACTTGGAATTATTTTATTCAATTTTCTTAATCTTTGAAAATAGGAACTGTTGTTATTTTCACTTCATAAATGAGAAAAAAAGTGTGAATTACATAATTTATTTAAAACCACAGGGCTAGTATGAAGTGGGTTTAGATTTCTAATGGAGAGAAGTTCATGATAGTTGAACAATTAATAATAATCTCTATTTAGCCATTGTCTTAATTTAGCTGGATAGGTCATTCTAGAACTGATTAAGTTAGTACCAAGTAGTAAATGAAACAAATGGAAATTGAATGGACTATAGGGAATACATGTAGAATAAAATAATTATTTTATGAAAGTGTTTAGCATTAAATAAGAATCAAATAAGCAGCACATTTTAAATGAATAACATATGCGATTCATTTTAATAGTATTTTTTATTTAGTTTAGATAGAAAAACACCATTGATTCTATGTTATGAGCTATATATAAAGAGAAATACACATACCTAATGTATGTAAAATAGTGAATATCATACATACATTTTCTTATGGCATTACTTCAGACAGAGAACTATATGCTTTAGAGATAAAACTAATATTTAAATTTTTTGATAGTCGCAACACTAAGCCATATTTGCATTTAATGAGGGACATTTTGTCTTGACATTTTCTATTGGTTGCAATGACTTTTATGAAAAGAAAATAGCAAAGGTTAGAGAAAAGTTATAAGCAAATATTCTCACAGGGTTGTTGAAATTGAAAAGTAAAGGAAATAGCTCTTTTCCTAGAAATGTTATCTAATAGAATCACTTTATTTGGCAGGTTTTTGCTGATGTTTCTGTATCATTTTGGAAAAGATGTTTTTAATAGGACTTCATCTCCAAACCCATAAGAGAGTCTTGCAGGGCATTTTGTTATTTATTATGGCACCCTTTTAGGACATAAGGGTTTATGTTAGTATGTCTCAAAGTTTTGCATTTTTTTTAATGTGAAACACTATGGGCTTTTTAAAAGTAGATTTTTGAGTTTGGAAAGACCAGAGTTACTAACACGGAAGTCATCTCTCAAGTAGTTTCTTCTGTATTCCATATGCTGGGGTGAATTTTATTTTATACCTGCTCATAGAATTTTTATTCAGTTTGTTATTAGTAATTATCCCCTAGTCACTTACTTCATATCTAATTTCTACATAATAGTTCCCTAGTTTATACCTGGTTTGTGTATTATTCTTCCCTAAGTGTGTTATGTTATACTTCTTTGCTTTAAATCTGATCTTAGACCTGTCCTTTCAAATCCCCATGTTGTCCATATCCATCCATATTCTTCATTGAGCTTCTTTTCTTTTTCATTCATGCTTTGTACCCTCTGCAAACTTTGTAATACTTGAATTTTATTCTCTTGGTAGTTACCCTAGAGAGTATGCTGAATGGACCAGTTTTTATTCCACTGGGTCTCTGCTGGATATACTGCTGGGTGTTCTCAGCTGTAACTTTCTTAGTAATAATTCATTGTCATCCTCCATCATAGAATTTTCATCCACTCTGCTACATATTGTTATATCTCGGTATCTTTACTGTCTGTTTCCTGGATATTCCTATATCAGTTACCTTTCTAAAATACAAACAAAATTGTGGTCAATTTTTGCCACTGTCTTGATTTTTCAAATTAATCAGAAAATACTGCTTTTTAACAGAACTATGTTTAAATTATCCTTTAAATGCAAGTCTTTAAGTATATGTTGACTTAGAAAACAATTTAGAAATGTGTTTTAAGTTTTTGGATCTCCATAGACTATGTTTCTAGTTAGTTGCATTTTCAGTTGAAAGAATAATTATTTTCCACATAGCTATGAGAATGACTTGAATAAATGATTTTTTTTTCCTGAATGTAGACTGTATTTTTAGTAAATTACTCTTCTCCAAAGTAGCATTGGAGAAGAACAGTTAATTTATAATTTTCAGGGCCTGATGCAGAACAACTTGTTTATTTATTTTTTAAAGGTTTATTTTTCTTTATCTTCAGGAGAAAGAAGACATCGAGGGAGTGTCAGTTGGGGCTATACTTTCTGATTATCAGCGTGTACGAGTAGAAAATGTGTAAGAGAACTTTGATTTGTCCTGTATCTTTAAAATGTTTGTGTTTTAGAATGTAAATAGTTAAAAAATAAATGTGTCCAAATAATGTTTTCTACATGTTCTGTGGGACTAAATGTATGCATTTATCTAAGTCAAGCATTTACTTTTTCCTATCATTATGTCACACACAAGAAAACTTATATACTGTGAGGTAAAACAAATTCTTCATTATAAAAAAATATAAATGGGACAAATTATTTTATATTTTATATTCTGACTGTCCAGGGTTATATTCTGGTATTAGTAGTTAAATAATTATTTTTCATATAGCACAGCGGGTAGGGCGTTCGCCTTACAAGCGGCCAACATGGCCGACCCGAGTTCGATTCCTCCGCCCCTCTCGGAGAGCCCGGCAAGCTACCGAGAGTATTCGATATGCCAGACACAGTAACAACAAAGTCTCCAATGGAGACGTTACTGGGCCCGCTCGAGCAAATCGACGATCAACGGGAGGGCCTTTACCTTTTTAATTTGAAATCCAGATAGTATATGGGATGGCCAAATATAGATAAAGTAAACAACTGTGTTTAAAAGTTAAACCCCGAATGAACATATTCCCAGGTTAGGAGACTGTTATGTCTAAGAATTTTGCAGTAAGGACAGGAAAGAATAACACTTGAAAATAAATCTTAGCTTAAAAGGATAGACTAGTTTGATAAGTAAAAATTAAACATTGGTGAGAGGTCAGTAAAAACCATAATGATTTAATTACTTGGGTGGTATTTAGTTTTATTTTGTATTTTTTAAGTATCTCAGTGGTTTTACTTTTGGGGTGTTCTGAGATTTCTTACAACAGCAAATTAAGTAAAAACAATCTCTGCAACACTTAGTATATTTTCCAGGATTTGAAATAATTCAAATATCCAACAACACATGTGAATGGATAAGAAAAAGTAAGTGAGATATATTTATATAGTAGAATACTATGCAGTTGTAAAAAATAAAATCTCAGCAGTTCTCTGCAACCTAGGTGGAACTGATGGGTATCACGTTAAGTGAAATAAATCAGAGAAAGTTCACAGATTATCTTGCTCGTCTGCAGTATGTGGAGAAACAAAACAAGGGACTAAACGGTGTTGAATTATAAAAACCCCTGGCCTACAGTTTCAGTTTACCAAGCCAGAACTGGAGCAGGGGTGAGGGAAATAAATATGTAAACTAGAAGTAACATTAAGACAGTGATGTAAGGTACTTTGATAATGTTGAGATGCAGTAACTGTACATCAAAAATATAAATATTAACACTATTGTAAACATGTTTCCTAGCTTACAACAGTGAAAAAATAATCTCTTTGATAATGAAGGTTTAGTTTGAAGTCAAAGGTATATTTTGAAGTCAAAGTATATATGCATAAAAAATATAACGATTTTACATAAACTAATTTTAAAGTTTATGTAAAACTACATGACCAAATATGTGGTATATTTAATAACTGGAATTTTCTGTGCCAGAAAGAGAGCAGTATGGGCTGAAATAGACAACTAGGTAACTTTACAGGGACTGGATTGTGGACTTTTTTTTGAACTCTCATCTCAGCTACCTGTGTGACTTAGACAAGTCACTAGGCTTTCATTACCATTTATTGAATACTTTTTTCTAGGCATTATACTACATTCCTTATCTATGTTACTTATAATCAAGTAATTATGGTTTTCCCTTAGTGATATTTAAGCAAAGGCATGAAAAGCAAGGTCAAGGAGCGTAGGCCTGAGTGAGGAGTAGAAGCAGAGTTGAAATCTGGGACAAATCAGGACAGAATCCAGGTCCCTTTCAAGAACTCTTCTTAATGGGGCTATCAGTTAAAGAAATATCATGATCTGTGTATGTGTTTAAAGAATCACCGTTGAAACTACTTTTATAGTCTACTAAAGTAAAAACTAAATTATAAAAGTTTGAAGAAAAGTAGCAGAGAAAGGAGTTAGGGGGACATTAACACAAGAATAATAGCAGTTTTGACTTGGGTATTAGTGGTTGTTATTGGTAAGGATTAATCATATTCTGTTTTTTCCAAGCGGCCAACATGGCTGACCCGAGTTCGATTCCTCTACCCCTCTCGGTAGAGTCCGGCAAGCTACCGAGAGTATCTCGCCTGCTCTACCCGTGTGGTATTCGATATGTAGACTGGATGTAGAATATGGAAAAAAAAAGAGTTAAAAGATGATTGCACCTTACAATTTTTTAATCTTCTCAAGAACTTTGAGAGAAAATGTTTTTGTCCCTATTTATGAATTAGGAAACAGAAGAGCTTAACAGATCTGCTAAAGTGGTGTAGCTAGGGGACACAGAGTTGACTGCAAAATTTATATTCTTTATACTACTGCAATGGAAAATATGTTGTACAATGCCTTCAGCATAGAATAGTCCATAAAATCATTGGTACTAAAATTTAATTGACACATGTGTGATCTTCAGGTGGCTAGGGAAAGCCCCCACAGCTATCTCTCTCACTGCCTGTGTTCGGTGGTCTTGAGCTGTATCCCCTCCAAGGACGACCAATGCCATGGGCAGTCGAAGGAGGAAACGAGGCCACCAGGCTCATTGGTGATCAGGTGCCATTTATTCCATTCTCCCCACGTGCCTGTTCCAGTGTTACTAAGGTCCCCATTCTAGTCTCACACTGCCCCTTACTCCTGTCTCCTCTTGTCTCTTCTGCTCATCTCTCCACTCTCTCTTGCAGCCACCTCTCGTCTCTCCACGTGCCTGCTCCTGCTTTCTTCTACATTCTTCTCCCTTCTCCCTCTGTCTCCCTTGCTAGTCTCTCCGTGCTCCATCTTGCCGCTCTGGTCTCTCTCCAGTCTCTCATCAACTCCACATACTGGGGGTAGCCACCACACCCGATCCAGTAGCACAATCAACATATCAAAAGCCCTTCCTGATCACCAATGAGGCTCAAGGGAGGGAACTACCACCTAGGGATGTTTCTCCTCTCGTTAGTCCAATAACAATTAACATCTTAATTCTACTTCTTAATATTAGTTATTTTGTATGGATACAGTAAGAGATACATTGAGTTTGTAGTCTTGCTCTCCTGGGGGACATCTCGCTATAGATCTCAGACTACAGTACTCAGGCCAGATTAATCTTTCCTAATAGTGGTAGGGCGTTTGCCTTATAAGCGGCCAACATGGCCGACGCGAGTTCGATTCCTCTACCCCTCTCGGTAGAGCCCAACAACCTACCGAGAGTATCTCGCCCATACTACCCGTGAGGTATTCGATATGCCAAACACAGTAACAATAAGTCTCATGATGGAGACGTTACTGGGCCTGCTTGAGCAAATCAATGAACAACGGGAGGACTGTACTTAACCCTAGCAGGGTCCTAATCTAGATATTACTTTTTGGATCATGACAGAATTTGTCCATGACCGTTCTCTTAACTTATACTTAAGTATTATGGCACTTTGACCTGGCCCATTTTGATGCCAGAGTAGCTTACAGCTTGCCCTGGGTTCATCCAGTCCCTCGTAGAGACCCTGCTTTTGGAGTGCTAGCAGCTGAAGGCTTAAGTTGAGAGAGCAGATGCCAGGGAGTGAATATCATTCGGAGTCAATTAACTCCCAAGTTACAAAAGCATAGCATTAACTGTCTTTCTGTGTCTATGCAAAAAAGGACATTGCTCTGAATTTACTACGCAAAGGACTGAAGGAGAAGAGTAAAGCAATATTTACAAGTTAACAGAGTCTGATTAGAAAATAAAGGCCAGTTGAGGAAGCAGAGCACAAAGAAAGAAGTTACAAGTAAACACAGAGGGATGGGAGCACTGTGATAGGAGTAACCCAATAAACCTAAGCTCCCTGTGGCAAGGCAGAAAGGACAACCAGTTTTATCCTATAGACACATTATTTTGTTAGAATAAATTTTTCAATTTTGAGTAACCTAACTTCACAATTTGGATACTCAAGGAAGTTCTAAAACAATGATCATCTATTATTAACATTTGGAAGTTTTTTGCCTGTATTTCTAAACATAGAGTCTAATTCAAATTAATATTTCTAACTTTCTAGAGATTTCATTTTTATCTGTTTATGCATAGCCTATGGAAATTAAATGTTTATATTATATATAAACTTCATTACGCAAAACATTTTTGAAAGTATTTTAAATGCTAATGTACCTCAGAGAAGCATTGTGTTAAAATCAAAGTAATTGCTATGGATCTGAGTATAGGATATTGAGATACCATCTTATTTCTTTCCTTTTTATTTTATAGGTGTAAACGGCTTAATCTACAGCCATTAGCTTACCTTTGGCAGAGAAATCAAGAAGATTTGCTTCGAGAAATGATATCATCTAACATTCAAGCAATCATTATCAAAGTAGCAGCTTTGGGTATGTACCCAGACTTTCAAAACTGTCTGTTGCATTGCAGATAATCAGAGTTCACTAATATGGAATTATAATAAAAAGAGAAGGATAATGTAGAATATAAAATGTGGAGTCAAGCTGAAGAATTGAGTTAAGTAATATATGTAAAAAGAAGATAAGTATTAAAGTGAACTTTCCATCAAAATTATTAATAATGAGTATCTTGAAATATATATGCATATATATAGATATATAGCTCCAATAATAGTATAATATTATAGTTCCTTATGTTTTTTGAATTTTAGGTTCATAGGATACAGAAATTATGGGTTGGTTGTTTTGGAAGCTTCTTAAAAATCTGTATTTGACACATAATATTTCTTTGTATCTAAAAAATATGAATAATGCGAAAAAATAATGATGGCTTTGTTTAGTATCTGGAAAAACAGGAAAATGAGTTTTTATTGGTGATGGTGAGAAAGTCATTTTTGAAAGAATAGTTTTTGATCTTTTAGCCTAGAGAACAGAAAAGTGATCCTGTGATTCAAACATGGATATTATATATGTACATATTTAATTTATTGATTTGAATTTTTTATAATTATATTCATTTTCTGAGAAACCATAGGGTTTGAAGCCAATACATTTATTTCCTCAACCCACTATGACCAATACCCTGAAGCCTCAGAATTCTCAAAGCCTAATTCATGTACCTCTTTTGAGATGTTTCCTTACTAATCTCTGAAATAATGAGGTTTGAGCTGTGGAAGATATTACAGGGAAATCTACATTTGTAATTTCACACACAGCAGAAATGTCACATATATTTCTTACTGGTAAATATCGTACTTTCTCTTCCTGTTGAATGAGAGGAGTTGTTTTTAATGGAAAGCCTTGTTTACAGAACCTGTCACTGATCTATTTAGAAGTAAAAAAGAGAAAGAGTTGGGTAGTAGGTTCTTAATTTTTAGAAAAGGTTGTCGGGAACTTTAAAAATGGAAATTGTCACTGCCACATGAGTTTCTACATGAATCTATACAAAGTATGTTCCCTCTCTTTTTCTTTATCACTTTTTTTGGGGGGTTTCTATGAGGAAGTTAATGTAACCTCACTGTAGTACATATTCTATTCCTTTTATTAGTAGAAAAAGGAATGAATTAGAATTTAAAAAAAAAGCTTTGCCTCATTCAAAAGACATAGCCATAGATTATGATATTACTGTTGTCTTTATTTCTGTTTGAACTGATATTGTGTGTTTTCATTTGTGTGTGCGGATATGTGCACATGCCTATATATAGGTATATATAGAAAGAGATGAGAATTAACTGTACTGAACATTTAATAAAGTAGAGAATGTTATAATGATTTTTGCCCTATTGTCCCAATAATGTAAGTATAGATCTAATTTTAGCATTTACAATGTATAGTTTCCATGGATTGCCATAGGTGTGCAGTGATGAAAGTTATTCTCAGGAACAGTATTAAAGAAATGTTTATCCCACTTCTTGGAATATATCCCGAGAATGCAAAAAAGCACAGTAGAAATGACACCTGTACCTATATGTTCCTTGCAGCACTGTTCACAATAGCCAAACTCTGGAAACAACCCAAGTGCCCTCAAACAGATGACTGGTTAAAGAAATTTTGGTACCTCTACACAATGGAATACTATGCAGCTGTCAGGAGAGATGACGTCATGAACTTTGCTTATAAATGGATAGACAGGGAGAGTATCATGCTAAGTGAAATGAGTCAGAAAGAGAGGGATAGACATAGAAGGATGGCACTCATTTGTGGAGTATATAACAACATAACATGAGGCTGACACCTAAGGATAGTAGAGACATGGGACAGGTAGATTGCTCCATAGCTGGAAGCCTGCCTCATAAGCAAAGGGCAGCTAAAATAGAGAAGGGATCACTAAGAAAATGATGGCTGGAGGAATCGGTCGAGATGGGAGATGTGTGCATAAAGTAAAGAACCAAACATGATGGCCTCTCAGTAGTATTATAGCAAAACAATGCCCCCAAATAGAGAGAGAGTATGGCGAAAATTGTCTGCCATGGAGGCAGGGGGAGGATGGGAAAGGGGGGGGTATACTGGGGATATTGGTGGTAGGGAATGTGCTCTGGTAGAGGGATGGGTGTTTGATCATTGTGTGATTGTAACCCAAACATGAAAGCTTGCAACTATCTCAAGGTGATTCAATAAAATTTAAAAAAAGAAAATGTTTATCAAGTGTTATATCCTTTCTAAAGACACACAAGCATAAAAAAAATCAACATAAGTTTCTAAGCTCTTTTAAAGCTTTCATAAAGGTTTTAAGCAAAAAAAAGGGGGGGAATATAGTTAATTCTATGGGGAAAAGGAGTCAACAAAATTTTATGGTGCTTTAAATTATGGAATTACCTTTTAAAAATCTTGATTGTGTGTATACATATTACAATTGATAAAATTAGTTTCAGGTGCACAATATAATAATTTGGTGCAGGAATATTATAAAAATATTATTAAATGATTACCACATAAGTTACCTTCATACTCAAATATTGTTACATATATCTTTTTCATGTCATAAAGACTTATAACTTATAGCTATTATAATAGGTGTGAGGTGATGTTTCATTGTGGTTTTGATTTCTGTTTTCCTAATGATTACTGATGGTGAGCATCTTTTCATGTAACTATTGACCATCTGTATATACTCTTTGAAATAATGTCTATGTAGATACTCTGCATATTTTTAATTGGTTGGTTTGTTTGAAACTATATTTCTAATATAATTGTGTTATATAACCTTGATATCTTGCCAAAATCAATGAACTTGTGAAATTTTCACTTTTAACAACTTAGCATCTTAAGAAGTTTCTAGTTTTTAGGCTTAAAGAACCAGTTGTACCTTGGATTTTAGAACAATCTTGACTTATAGACATACTTTTAATCACATGAGCATTACATGAAGATAATTTTTGCTATCTAAAGATAATTTTCCTCATTAAAGTTTCCATGCTTTTTTTTCCTCTTCCTCCAGCTATTTCTTTTCTCAGAGAAAGTCAGAAGTATAGTGATTTTTAGGTCACTATTTTTCAGTTTGTAGAAATACTATGATTTTTTTATATGATCTGAATAGTCACTTGAATGGCTTTTTACTCTGAGTGTGAATTTCAACTTGCCTTTAATTCAGTATGTCTTAGGATGGCATTCCTGTCAATAAATTCCATCTAGCTTGGAGGTTTACGTTAGTTTTTCAGTAGCCCCTAATTGAAGTATAACATAAATTACTATTTTCTTGTTTTGTTTTGTTTTGGAGCTATATCCAGCGGTCCTCAAGACTTACTCCTGGCTCTGTACCTCACTCTTGGTGTGACTCAGGACACAATCAGGGGTGCCAGGTTTGAACCTAAGTTGGCCTCATGGAAGGCAAGCACTGTTTCTCTCTGCCTATGTACTCGCTCTCCAAACCCCATCAATGTTTTTAAAATGTGCAGACCCTTAGTTATAACTTGATGAATTTTCATTACATTAACATACTTATGTTATCAAAATCCAAATGTAAGTGATGTAAGCTACATGTATTAGAGATCTTACATGTTAAGATCTGAGTTGGAGCATACCTAATATGGCTAGAAAATACCAGAAGGGCTACACTATTAATCCTGCCTCTCTCTACTTCATCTGGCCCTTTGATTTCTTATATCCTTGAAATTGTTGGTAAAGCTTAAAAATACTATATATGAGTAGATAAAATTGAAATTTATTCTAACTTTTACTCACTTTAAAGATAAATTAGTTTATTTAAGTCAAAAATAACTGCTGGGTTAATAGCATTTGGCAAGTAAAATATAGACTTAAAATTGTACAAGGCTTTTGCGCTATTTTTACAAATTTAGTAAGTATACTTTTTAGTACAGTGTATAAGAATTTTAAGTTGTAAATGCTAAATGAAGGTAAACTATGTTTTAAAAGACATCACTGTCACTGTCACTGTCCCTGTCCTCCTGTTCTTCATCAATTTTCTCGAGCGGGCCCAGTAACATCTCCATTGTGACACTTGTTACTGTGTCTGGCATATCGAATACATCACAGGTAACTTGCCAGGCTTTGCCGTGCGGGCAAGATACTCTCGGTAGCTTGCCGGGCTCTCCGAGAGGAGCGGAAGAATCAAACCCAGGTCGGCTGGGTCGGTCGTGTGCAAGGCAAATGCCTTACCCATTGTGCTATTGCTCCAGTCCTTAAAAGATGTAAGTAATAAATTGTTTAAAAGTGAGGGACTCTGGTGATGGGAAATGGGCACTGGTGAAGGGATGGGTATTTGATCATTGTATAATTGAAACCCAAGCACAAAAATTTGTAAGTCTACAACTGTACCTCATGATATCTCACTAATAAAAACTAAAATAAATAAATAAATAAATAAAAGTGAGAGACTATAGATTGATTAATAGGGAAAAATGGCAAATCAATATTGCAAAATAATTCAAAAGAAGGCAAGAAAGTGTTTAAAATACAGAACATATGGGAAAGATCATAAATAAAAGTAAGATAGCGATGTAAACCCAATCATTCCAGTAATTACGTTCAATGTTTAGTAATGATCACAACACTTACAAATAAAAGGGAGGGAATTTCATACTTGATTTAAAAAACAACAAAAAAAGCTAAGGTCCAACAAATTGGTTATAAGTGATATAATAAATTTGAACAAAGTAGTCTTTAATAAGTGAAATACCAATAGGAATAAAGAGGGACATTTCATTCTGATAAAGGAACTATTTTATGAAGAGAAGATAATGTAGTACTGTAGCACTGTCCTGTAGCAACCCTGTGCTATCGCCCCAGCAACCCTAAAGAGAAGATAATAGTCTAAATATTATATTAATATTATAAATATTAAATAGTCTAAAGATAATAGTCTAAATAGTCTTAAGAGAAGATAATAGTCTAAATATTCACCAATAACAGAACTTTGATACAACATAAAATTCATAATTAGCACAAATGGACAAAATACTTGGAACTTCCAT